TTCAGATTCAACACGTAAAATCAAATGTGTATTCATTATTGTACAAAGTTTTTATTTTAAATATTTGAATTCCAATTATATATGAATATTGTTTCAATCGTTATGATTGACAAATGAATATGGTTTTATACCGATTTCATCCAAAACTCTGCAGCCACCTCAGAACAATACGCGCGCTGAGTTGTTCTTTAATGACCATTATTTTTGAACAGGGCTTCTGGGATTTTCGACGAAAACCATCGAAGTATTATTCTGTAACACGATATCACAAGTTCATATTGTGTGATATCTTATATCGAACGTGGCTCGGTTGACGCCACGAGCTGTCGCGCTTCGTTTCCCCGCCTTTTAATCTTGCGAACATTGTTAAGGTCGTTTTGAAGTCTGATCGCCGGACTTGGTCGTCCGATTATTATTGTTCGATACCCTTCGGTTCAGTTGTATGTGGTCGTCGTTTACTCAACTAAAAGAAGAATCAACAAAAATAGATATGCTTTTACAATGTGTATTGGTAATTTTAGCTGAAGCCCGGTTTGGTGAGAAACAAAACAATGCGACAATGCGTATGCTTTTCAGTGTTGGTCATTCGTTTTGCCATTAGCCCACGTCTGCGGCACAACGTGGAAAACTCGAACGCACACTGCAGTAACATTGCAATAATAATTCCATTGAAATTACCAGCAAGACATACGTGTGAACTCGGCTGAAACGTTTTGTCGGCAAATTCGTATGTGCCGACTGTGCTGCTGCAGAAACCGTGTTAATTTCAACCAGTATCACGTAACAAATAGTTTATAATTGAGTTAAATTTTTTCCAAATGATTCAGAGAGACGATATTTCCTATTTCCCGATTTAACATCATATTTACACGTTCTATTAATTTTCCGAACTATATTTTTTAACCATATTCTATAGAAATAGAATTTTTGTTTATTTTATATTCAAATAAAGTACCTTGAAACCCAGTGGATTGATGAGCAACGTTTCGCCTGAATGATAGGAATGATTTACGTTTTTGTAATTCAGTAACAAAACAAATCATATATTATATATATATATAAACCTAAATAAAATTTTAAACTATTAACACATTAATATTTGTTTAGTGTTCATAAGGTCTGAAATAAGTAAATTGTAAATTAAATGTAGGTACCCTACGTTATCTATACAACAAACACATTATATGATTATATTATTTACTCTAATCTTTAATGGTTTTATTGACGGTGTCATTTTAATGATATGCGACAACTTGTATAGGGTGATTACAGTATTGAAATTATTTCAAAATAAAATAAGACAATAAGCGGAAACGAACATAATGGTCTTAAAATGTACGATAAGTAGACTTAAAGCTAAAATGTAATTAAAGATTTATAAATTTCTTCGACAAAAATAAACGTATCAAGTTCCCATATATTTTATCTCATATTTTATTTTAAATAAACTGAAATTAAAAAAATGAATTTACAAAATGTATTTACTAATAATATCATGTAAGGTATATCGATAAGCAAAACACAAAATGAATATATCTGACAGTTTAGTAATGAGATATTTAATTTATACATTTCGGTACAAGTGACTAATGAAAATCGAGTTCGCCAAGCGATAAATACAAGATATCGTTGTTCCTTGCTTTTGGCGTTCATTCCCCTTTAAGATACTTATTATATAAAATAAATTTTATGCACCAGTTACATATAATTATTATTTTGCATTCATTACAACAACATACTGTTTATAAAATATAGTCGACCAAATGTCCTATTGTTAAGAACAGTATTAGTATAGTATTGCGACCAAAGTATAAAATAAGAATTATATTAACAATAGTTATTGCATCAAATATATTTCATATTATTTACATTATAATAGGTGATAAATTTAGGAAAAGAGCCACCAACCGTTATGTGTTTGTCGCTTGGTGAACACGATCTTATCGTTAGTGTCGCTTATACTCAATAAAATATGTTTATCCCTTACATTTATAATATTTCTGTTCGGTAAATTTCGCTTGTGCCGATTTTATAAGTTAAAAATAAAATAGTAATTTTAAAAATGACCAAAGGAACACTATAGCTCGTTCAATCGAATGCTTTAACTGTCGATTGTTCTGCAGGGTGCATCATGTGGCTGAGCCCCAAAATGTGTCTTATATCAGCCGAATTATGTTTATTTGCATTTTTTGTTTTTAAAATTATATGTTTTTTATTATTCTTTTTGGTAATAATTTTTTACCTACATGTATTTGGTTATTCGGGATGAAATATATAATCTAAAAATGTTTATCCAATAATAGAGTAATAGCGTATTTTACTTGAATATTTATGTTATTAATTTAAGTATTAAAGTTATTTGGCAAATATAAAAGAGAAACACTCTTTATTCATTAATTCATGTAATTTCCTAGTCTTTTATAATTAGGTATGAACATTCAAATAACAATTTATGAAAACAAATGATTCAAACGATTGTCTGTGTAATGTTCATGTAATGTTCACGAAAATTATTCGTTTAAGTTTTCGCGCAACACAAAGCGTTTAATAATAATATTATATGGCTTATGGTGCATAAAGGCCTGCGATAAGTGGATTCGAAGCCAGCGATATTTATTATTTGACAGGGCAATTAAAATACAATAATAAAAATTGTGCAAAATACTCTAATAATTCTAATTCTATTACTCTAATTCAATTTTTCGAATATACATTACATTACTACTTAAAATTTATAATTTTGGGCGCCAACTGTACAGGGTTTTTTTTTCGTCTGGCTGTGCGTTGGACATTTTTCAATGAATAAAATATTACTCTGTATATTGGAGCATATTTAGAAAGGGGATATAGGTCCTGTTTTCCAGAGCGGCAATTTTTTTAAAATTCGGAGGGGCAGCAAATTTTTAAAAAAATAGAGGGACAACTAATATTTATTATTCGAAGATTACATACTAGACTATAGACTAGTGGTCCCAATTTTTATGAATGTGACTCTGAGATTTAAAATTTAACTATTCGTGCCGTAAAAAAATAAAAATAAATTATTGTAATTCTAGAAATTAAAATTATATAAAATAAAATTTTTAACCAATATCAATCATTGTCCGATTTTTTCTTTGAATTTCAACATTCAATTAATTTAACGGTTCAAAAATAGCACTTAAAAAAGACAACTTGACCATTCATATATCATCAGTAAATTGTTTAGCCAATGAGTAGTTCTATTATTAGAAAAATATGTATTTTTACACGCAGACGTAACACGAAAAAGAATTTGTTCTTCAATAATTCAATTAAACTCCCGAGCATAGCTGTTGCACCATGATTATGTTAGGTTTCATAAGTTCCTCTTCGATGTTATACGAGTACTATTTTTTGGAGTGTACGATTTTTCAAGCCACGTCAAATAGTGCCTTGTTAGTTTTTAATAAAGAAACTGTAAGTGTATTAGATAGACGGTTAAGCCACACACGTTTTTCTTTAATTCGATGTTCTTTTCAAAGACAAAATAGTATATCAACCAATATGGGATAAATAGTGTTAAGATGTCTTTTTAGTTTATTAACTTTCTTAGATTCGTGTGATAGAACTCGCAAATAGTACACAAATTGAGTACACACTAAACTCGAACGATCTAATCCATGTCTAATTTATCCGTAAGATCAAACTTCAAAAATTCGTGACGAACGTTATTTTTCAATGCTAAAAAAAATCAAACACTATTTACGGTATACAATGGCACAAAACCGCTGTTCAGCCTTAGTGGTATTGTCAATTAAAGTTGAAATAACCTATTTTATTTACTTTTAAATCGAGAAAAATGTTTTTAAATTTTATAGTCTATTAGTTTTTTATGATACATGAAATATATATTTAATATAATGTATATATTCCGGCAATATAAATAATCCGGTATTTTGCAAAATATTTAGGCATTATATAAAATGCCAAAAATCACTCGGTAATTTACATAATACGAGCTTTGCCTAGGTATTATGTATAATGCCAAACTTGAAGTACACTTTAAGATGAAAATAAACAAAATTGGGCATTGCCTATTACTAAAGACTTTACTTATTGTTCATTGTAAATGCGCAAGCACGATTTGTAAAAATTGACGTAAAGCGTGACAATAGAGATTAAGATTCTTATCCTGCTACAATAATAATAATAATAATAATAATTATAATAGTTGGAATAATAATTCTGAATAAAAATATTGAACGTACTTATAATTCTATTACAATATCGTAATTTTCGTGTCTCACAAGGTGTTGCGTCTATGGATACGATTGATTTAAAGCCAAGTTTTAATAACAAACTACAAAAAAATTGTAAAAATTGACCAATCGTACTAGTTTTTTATCTGATGAACAGTACAGGTTCATCAGATAAAAGAACATAACAGTTGATAAAAAATATTTTTCAAATTAAAGCTGGACGTAAGAAAAAAAAGAACCTAAAGATTTTTAGTCCGTTTAATGAAAAGGTAAGTAAAAGGCTTGGAAGTTACTCATTTACATATTATTTTTTAGTTTTTCAAGTTTATTGCTAAGCTATAAAATCATTTAATAAATCAATGACCATCCAAAATAACAAAAGTTTATAATTCTTAACTTGAAATTTATTAAAGAAAATTTACAAATTACTTTTATAAAATAATTTAAAAAAAGTTTTATTTAGATTAATTTTTATTAATTTATTTCTGTTGTGATAGGTATGATGTTCTGGTTGTACAAGGAAAAATGAAACTTATAGTTGCTATAAAATATGACAATATAGTCTGTACTATATGCTCAACAGTGAGCTATTTGTTGTATTACAAACCACACGCGTATTAATAGGACATGATGGGCGGATGATCAAGGAACTTGATAATAAACATAAAAATATAACACATAACAACATTGAGACATTTTTGCATTTTTGTGAACCATGTCAACAAAAACAAAAATACTTGAAAAAAGGAGCAGTAGTTAAATCAATAATATCTTCTGACTTTAACTCCCGATGACAAATTTATTTGATAGATCTCCAGCCTCATCCTAATGGGAAATTTAAATTCATTATGGTGTACCAGGATCACCTCAATGAATTCGTTATTCTCAAACCTCTCTAAAAAGGTAGCTAATAAAATTATAGATATTTTCACGTTACTCGGAGGTAGGCTGGAAGCGGCAAAATATGTGTTGCCTTTATCCTGAAATTCCTAAATACGTCACTGGCACTGGCGTGTACTGTGTATCGAAGCAAGATCAAAGCGTTGAATTAAAAAAGTTGAACATCGCAGCTGATATTCCGTTTAACGACGAATACCTTTTTAAGCGAAGGAAACTGATTAACTTTAACAATCATTAATACGTCACGAACGACGGGGGAATAATAACAATAGCGAACGAAAATAAATTATTAACAGTGCGTTGTTCAATCATTAATCCTTCGACAAAATAACGATAAAATGTTGTGTACGGGGAAATGCTATGATGATTTTTCTTGGGATTTGGTATTTTTAATGTATTTTACCAGCTTCGAGGAGACCATTCGAGGAGGAAAAATCAAATATAAAATTACCGATAATCACACGGCATCGTCGATGACGGGTTCAAAGACATCGGCGGCAGCGATCGGGTTTACGCGGAAACTGCGACGGAACGGCGTGAATTTTATTTCCGCGCGATACGGCAAAAAAATCGGTTTTGATGGGGAAAAAAGAAAATAAAAAATAGACTCGCGTAGTGCGATCAATATAATATGCTACGCAGATTGTACACAGGCTGCTCCCGGGTTCGCCGCGACGCGTATTAGGCGATGACGTGCGTGCGCGCGCGCGCGCATCCGATACACAACGTGCGGCGCGTACATATACAGAGTGATTTTTTTGAACGCGCCCGGAACGTTTTTCTACCGTCCGTAACAATAGGAACGTTTCAGACGTTTGCGTTATTTGCGGACGACCGTGTTGTGCCGGTTGAGAGATGCGGTGCACTTGGCTCGCCTGAACATCAAACGCCATCAGTTCACCACGCGGTTTCCGGTGATCAACAACAGTAGTTAACGGTAAATGATTATTATCGTTCGAACAACGGACACTGCCGGAGACGTGCCGATTGAACGCAACGGGCATTGTTCAGGGGTTCAACCCGCACCCCCGGAATATCAGCAGACTAACCGTCCCACAAATGTAATAATTTTTTCAAAGTGTCCCGTGAGACTTGCGCACAAAACACAAATATATATTACACAATGAGTAATAAAGCATTGCTGTTGACGTTTTACGTTTAACGCACTAGCGAAACTCCCCTCCGAAATTGTATCCTGCATTCGGCACTGCAACGAGATGTTCGTCGCAACAGCGAAACACGTAAAATCGGAAAGAAAAAGAAAACAACAACAACAACAACAACAAAAACGTTTAAGGATCGCGACGAAACGAGATAAGGAATTGCCGTGCACGGCGCACGCCGTGATCGTCGAGTCATTGAGCCGGGGCTACGGTGTACCAACGTAGTGGTGCAAGTCCGCGGCGCGCGCGTAGGAATGACACGACGTGACCACACCGGCGTTGGTCATGGCACGAGTTCGTACACGTACGTAACCAGCCCGGCGATAATGATAACGTGCGCGAACCCTCACTCGATTCAATTCGGTTTGACAATTATCGCCGCCGTCCGTCCGTTGACGATCAACGCTGTCGAATGAAGAAAAAAAAAACAACCCCATCGTTCCGGAATACAATTCAGTATAGCTTACGAGATGATATTAACGTCGTGTTTCGGATAATCAGCCCCGTCGTGTACGATAGTTAAAATACGGATATTAAAAAATTCGTAATGGAAATGTCCGTATCCTTCGAACAGGGTGAAAAAATGTGTTGGACGCGTAATTCGACGAGGTATTCGGAAACTTTTGATACGCGTTTCCTCGTGTGCACGCCTGCGAACGCTACGCGAACGGGTACACGAGGGCGGGGAGCGATTGCGAGGGGGCGATGGTAAAGGAAAGGAGGGAGAGTGAGTGAGCGGCAAGCGGAAGAGTGCAAGCCGATTGAACGGAAGAGATGAAAGTGCGCGAGCGACGGAACAGGAGGTGGCACAACGCGGTGGTGACGGGCGAGAGGGAAATAGCAAGAGGGCTGACGAGAGGGAAAGAGCGAGAGGGCGGACGAGAGAGATGTTATGTTGTTGCGCGATAAGGTACGAGTGAGAAAGAGTTACGAGACGGCAGGAGGGTCGGGGAAGCGATCGGATCGTGCGGTCGGTAGCTGTGGCGACGGGAACGGCGTGGAAAACGGTGCGCGCGCGAGACCGTATCCGTAGAGGCGGCGGCTGCGACGTTGCCAAGTGTGTCACGACCGCGTCCGTAGAGGGCGGCGGACGGCGGCACGCGGATTTGGCGCGCAGGTCTTTCATCTCTCGGACTGTACGCGCGCGGGTACGGCGCCGTGCCACCGCTACCCGCCGGCCCGCGACCCGGGCTCGAGGTTCACGGCCGACACTGTGTCATTGCCATTACGCGCCGCAGTGAGAGTGATACGCGTTCGTACGGCTCAGCACCGCTGACGGTGCGCGTTCATTATTGTCGTACGTTCCACGTCCCATCCCGCGCACGCACACTCTCTCACGCTTTCCGTCCGTCACCGTCTCGCGACGGGTCCAGCGGTGTCCGATTGTACAGTGTTGTTAATGATTTCGACAATTGGCAGAAAAATGTTCTGTTGGAAACGTTGACGGTGCGTTTCCAACGAAACGGGCGTGTCTTAATTTTTCATAATAGCGAGAGAAACAACTTTTATTGACATTAAATTAAACTAAAACGATCTGATCAGTACATAAACACATAGGGACTGAGTGAAATTTACAGTAATTACTAGAAAAAAAAATAAAATATGGTTTAAGATAATATCCAGGGTTTATAAACGATCTTTAAATTTAACATTAAAACTGTTCAATAAATTAATTTATAGAAAAAAAATAAAAAACTAAAGAGATTTATTAAGCTGAAGACTATTGTGCTAAGAACACAAAAAACGATTTCACGTGTTCCTAACTAATCAATCAACTGGTCGCCTCGGTCTAGACGCCGCTTTTCTTACCGATATGGTACTCGGAGAGCAGTGCACCGAAATGTTTCGTCGAATCTTTTCGCTCGCCTTCCCCTTTCGTAATCCGGTCGTCTCCAATGTCATATCACTTGGAAACTGCATAGGATTATTCTCGGTGCTGCACTAGTTGGATCTCGTATGCTTTACGGTCACTGCACTGCACTACCTAACATTTTTCCTCCGCCTCGACGAACTGCGACACATCCAATTATTGAAATTTCACAAAACACGACGTAAGAAAACGAACGGAATATATTAAAATAATAATAATAATAATATGAAATACGGTTGAAAATAGTGTTCGTGTGAAAATGTACAAGGTTTATTTTACGAAACACATTGGAACAAAACTGATTATTTATTAATAAAATAATAAAAATATATTTAAAACTAAAGGTTAGTAAACGGTTGATACTCGTAAATTAATATATAAATTAATTTGTTTGTTTATTTATACATTGGATTATTTCATTTTTTATAAGACAAACAGCTACTACTTACTATATAAGCTCTAGGCTTGTAAATGATTATGTAAGTACTCGCATGGATGCTTGTAGAAGGGTATACCTATTACGGAAAATATCTGTCACCCAACTAAGTATATTACCTTGTAGTACCTTCTGGTGTTCAGGACTTCCCCTCCCCCATTTTGGATGTACCGGACCATAACACGTGTTTATTATTATATTACATATATTACATTATTTATATTATTACGAAAACGATGAAATATTATTATTATTACTAATATATTCATTAGCTCGCCACTGCGCCGCGTTCATGTGCGCCACTGTTATAAAACAATACGCAATACCACTGGGTGCGTGTATCATATTATAACGCGTAGAACGAGTACGCTCCGCGATGACGTTATACCGACCGAACTGTACGATAATATTGTGCATATAGATTACATTTTATACAATTTAATCTGAGGCACGGTACACTCCGTCCATTTTAATATATGTAATTTGCATTTGTATCCGTCACTCGACTCCAGGGACGGATTAGCGTATCGAGTGATTGGGAAAGTTCCCGATGGGCTGGGTTTCATGTTGGGAGATGGTTAATTTATTTATGTATTTGAACTTCTTTTCCGTGTAAAATCGCAATATTTTGTTAAAAACAAATGAGGTTATTATTGTGAACCGCTTTGATTTATATTTCCCGAGTCGAAAAATATTACCCTTACACATATAGACGGTTAAAGAAATACATTTTTCAAATCTCGCGACACGACGCAGTCATGTCATTTCGAATTTTAATAGAATCCGCTGCTGTACGTACATACCAAACGAGATGCGTATCCGTATCATATACGATCAACGGATTTTGCGGAGAATGTTAAACTTATACGAAAGCATTGAATTTTCGACACGGACACAGTGATAACTCCAATACGTGATAGTATTGACTCATACACGAAATGTATTATATTGAAAATTATGTCGATTATATCGAATTTCCCAGGTAAATTAAACGACTATTTCAGCATATGATGGTAAAATTCAGATTCAGTTTATCGTTGCTGATATTTTTGATCGAAACCCGTCAAATATCTTGCTTACGAAAACAGAAAACAATAATAATAGGTAATAAAAAAGTATGATATCTATAAATCAGTAGTATTCGTCGTATATTGCACGTTATACGATATCAAATTCATTCATTCATTCAGTTCACCGCGAAACGTAAGAACTTGTCGTTTGACAGTGTACAGCAGTGTTATTTATCGGTCGGTGACAACGGTAGGAGATTATATCGTTTTTTCAGTCGGGTAAAAAACACTAAAAAGGTCAATATAGAGGGTATTGTACCGATTTTTTCGATCAAGTTTTCTGTACACGAGTTGTTTACATTCGACCGATTTCGCGATTGTAACGTACGCGCACGTGCATTCGCAGCACGAACGCACTCGTAACGCGCTACACGATGCGTGTGTACTCGGTGCAGTTCAACAAACTTTACACTTCGAGTCGTACGCATTATTATTTTATTATAAAGGCCTAGGTTGTCACACGTGAACCGACGCCCAGGAAATAGTTGTAGAGAGCTCCCCTACTACACATTCGTCCTGGCTGCAGTATCCGGAGCGTTTTTCGTTTACATGCACTTCAACGCCGTACAATTACCGAACAACAAACGAGACACGGTGTTATAATGCACACAGATCGTCCCACGATGATACACCCAAATAATACGATATCATTTTATTTTCCCGAGACGACAAGTACAAAATCAAATTCTGTTATTTTTTCCGTGCAATTCGCAGGGACAAGGATTGTAAAATTATTCATATTTTAATTTCGTTTTTAGTTTTGGTAAAAATTTAGCATATTATTTGATTATCTTCGTTGTCTCGGGAGACATCGCACGCGCCCCTGTATACGGTGGCGTGGCGAAGAGGGACGTCGAGAGGCAGCCGCCTCTGAAATTTTTTTAAAGGTAGATGGGTGACCGACTGAGGGTGGGTAATTACTTACGGGTTATTTTTAGTTAATTTAGTTATTTATTCGTACTGTAAGGGCCTGCTTCCGTGACAGTTTTAAAGAAGTGGTAAAAACCCATTGTCAAATGTTCATGTATGATAGCCGTTGGGTTGTGAGCGTCATTCCTAGGTATTGGAAAAAAATACTCTGGAAATATTTCAGTTTGCCACTACCTGTTTATACGTATTACATTTTTACAATGGAAAATCACCTGTGTTCATTCGGGATGATCTCCGAAACTACTATTCCACTAATGACTCGATTTACATAAGATATTCGTTATATTTGTGGATAGTTACTCGGAGAACTAAATTTATTATAATATATTGTATATAATTATATGACATAGGTTATCGTACTAGAATACATTACTGGCGACCAAATTAAAAAATGTTCGATACTGTTTCACAGTTTTTCCAGGTCCTCCTTTATATACCTTCTCGTTACTTTTTTACATTCCAGTTTTTGATCTTTCCATTAATTGACACGTCCGTAGTATTTGAATGTGTCACTTTTCGAATGACATTATAAAAAACATTTTTCGATTTTCTTTTGCAATGTTATTTCCGGATATTGCCCCTGGCGACGTTTTCAATCGAGGATAGTAGTATAACGTTTTCAATGTAATTGGATTTATCACTTTTAAGACCAAACCACTATACATTTTTTCGATTTTATTTTCGCAGAATGTATCGAAACATTCTTCTGATTCGTTTAACTTACTGGAATGGAAAAAAAATAATATACTAATTGAATCCGAGGTTAAGAAATTAATAATATACGAATCGAGTCCAAGGATTATTTTGTGTAAAATATAAAATCAACCGTCCAGATACAGTGAAAATTATGCCAAACGGCATTAAAATACGAGTATATGTTATTGTCGCACTTATGTCTTGTGAGCCTCATTTATGTATTCATTGGCGAAAACCACCAATAGTTGTGAATTCTTTCGTTCGAAAATCAGTGCTATATTTTATTCAGTCCATCCAAATATTTACTAATTTATAAAAATGTTGTTAAATGTACAATGCGAAAACTATATAAAAATAGTTCATATTATTAATACAAGAAATAATATAAAAAAAAATCGGAAATCAAATATAGCTGTTACAATATAACACAATAACTAAATGGCAGACGTACGTTGCCATTTACATCTACGATACCATAGATGTTAATTACGATGTTCGTGTAATCTAGTATACGCACATGAGTATTATAATTTTACAGCCATTTATGATTTTAGATTATAATTTGAAAGCAAATTTGAATGTCAATTTCTATTAGTCCATTATTGGATGAACACAGAACTAATTATAAAACTGAATTTTAATAATAATTACTATACCCTGATGTTGCTTCATAACATGTAACATTAATTAAATGACATGCAAATATGATATCAAACCGATGTTTTAATGATAATAAACGTGTAGGTACAAAATAATGAAACAAATTTAAGGTGGTTCTAAAATATTCAACGTACACATATTGGTTGGGGACCTGATTGCATAGTTAATCTTTTTCTAAAAAGTCGACGGGTAGGTTAAACTTTGAAAATAATTTATAGAAACATCGTGCAATCTGCCACAAAATCGATAAGGGAAAGGTACACATACACAAGCGCTAACGCTTTTTCATTGTGAACAAAATTAATTAAAATATCAATACAAAAAGGCAACGGCGTAACTTGAATTGTGCGTAGCCCATCGAAAATTAGAATAAAAACACATCGTGTTACTTATTTAACTGTCAAATCTAGCTACTCGTTCAATAGCATAACATTTATTTTTATTTTTATGTAATGGATGCACCAAAGGATACGCAGATGATTAAATACTATAATACTATTATAATAATTATTATAAAAATATTACAGTAGTCACTCGATAATTCGAAATTCAGGGGACCGAGTTCAAAATTCGATTTATAGAGGTTTTTGATTTACCGAGTGTTCGAATAATCGAAGGAAAAAAATTAATAAATAAAATACATTGTATATACATATATAACGTTTATTTTGACATTAACTTATTATAAATATAATTATGTACATTTTAAAATTATTAATTGATATTTATTTATTACACATACATAGTATTATATTTTATATACATATTACATATTAAAGAAATCTGTTACTTTTTTTTGTGAAAAATTGTTGGTCGCAATCTGGTCCATAGCATTGTCTAACTTAATAATAGCATTGAAAATTGTATCGCATCTTTTTTCGTCCATTTCAGATTGTTCAAAAAATTGACGTAATCCTGACATAAAAAATTTTGTTTCTTTTAACGATATGACAGGAACCTCCGCCTCCTCTTCCTCGTCATCATTGTCAGAATTGTGCTGATTGACTGAAGTAGATTGAATAATTTCCTCGTCAGTAAAAGTACCAGCAGTTGCGACATTACCGTCAAAGTGAACAAATTCTTCAAATGATACGGGAACTTCTAGTCTGTTCCATGTGCTAAGCAGAATTTCAACCTCTTCACTTTGAACAGGAATACCTTCACCAATTTTCTGTCCATCCTTAATAAAACCACAAGTTCTGAAGTAATTCACGATGGTTTGTGCACTAACATTTTCCCATGCTTTGTGTACCATTTCCATAGCAGTGAGTATAGAAATTTTACATGGAACATCACCCATGCACGCCAACACTTCTCGAACAATTTCCTTTCGATACATCATTTTAAATTTTTTTATTATTTCTTGGTCTAGTGGTTGGAGAGTTGATGTAGTGTTGGGAGGTAAAAAATAAATTTTTATATTTTCAAGATGAGGAATATTATTGTGTGCGGTACAGTTGTCAACGAACATCAACATTTTTCGATTTGCCTTTTTCATATCTACATCGATACATAACAACCACTCTGTAAACAATACACCTGTCATCCACGCCTTTTTATTTGACCGGTACATTAGTGGGAAAGATTTTACGTTTTT